ATATTCGTCAATTTCGTATAGCATTAATTCAAACTCTTGTAAAAAAAGATATTTTTTTTAAATTTATTTTACTGTCTATATTATTTTCATAGAAGCAATATTTCTTTGTTTATAAAATGTTTTTATTTATGATGAAAGCAAATGGAAATATTTCATTAGATTCAACAGAAAACAACGACGAAAATCAAACATGTAATTTTTTAAAAGATTGAAGCCTAATGAAAATTTTAATGTAATATTAAGTTTTTTTTCTACAGAATATATACATATTTGTCAAATTTTGAATATATATTTAGAAAAAGAAATTTATATAGAGACTTTTCGATATATCCATCATTGTGTGAATTGAAATGTAGAAGAACTCCTGTTGCAAAAGTCTTTGTATAAAATATTCGATTACTTAGAATTCATCAGGGACAAAAATCGATACAAAATTTCTAAGTTTTACTAACTGCAAAATACGCGAATGTTTTGTACGAAGACTTTTGCAATCGGGGTTACAAATAATATATAAGGCTGTTCATAATCGAATATAATGACTAATTTAGGGATACTATTTATTCGCTAAGTTTGATAGCTAATATAAAATAAATTAGATAAGTATGCGTGAATAAGGTAAAATAAAAATGGTATTATAGTGTGATTTATTGATATTTCGAATTCTTTTTTTCTCTCCTTTTAAGGTTATTTTGCAAATAGTATTTTCTTTCTTATTACTAATATTTCTTACTCACTACTTTTGTTTTTCTTCCGTCTCGATCATATATATATATATAAAATTACCATTTAAAAGATAAAGCCATACGTTATTGATCAAATAAATCCATCTTCAGTTAACAAATGGTAAACTTTATAGAGACGCATCAATATGAAAATGGACTTGGAGAATGCTCAGAAAAGAAAGTCACCCGTAAATTCGATTGAGTGAAAGACAAATATGAATGTAAAAAAATGGATTCGATACTATTCCAGCACAGAACAAGGTGATATTAAGGTACATTATTGCTGCAATCAAGTTAAGTTTCCTGAGGCACCGGCAGTTAAAAGTTTGCAGACCACTTTTAGCAGTGAAAAAATATGCCTTTAGGTGAGAATTACGAAAAATAACAAAAGCTTTACTAATGCAATATATGAGTAATCAAATTTTTTACCCAATAAAATTCATTTGTTTATCTAGTAATATATAAAACATGTTTTTTTGTATTCAATTGAAAAGATTATAATAACTGCGATTAAAATCGATTCATGTATATCTTTCGAAAAGTTGAATTATCGAAATTCGTATTGAAAATTTTTTTCTATTATAGTTTCATCATTAGCTACAAAACTTGCACCACCGTCCACCATATCGTCATCATCCCGTCGTCCATCTGCACCACTTCAAATAGTTCTTCGTAATCCGCCCATAAGACGTCGTTTATTATATGGTAGTAGTATAAGTAATACACCATCACCAACAATATCTCCATCCGACATTTTTTCACGATCATCAAAATCTTCATCATTGAATGATACACCACAAACACCTGAACCACCATGTTCTTCTCATTTAAATACAAATAATCAACATAATCAAACATCAGATACAATCAAATGCAATATTAATCGATCAAGATCTTTAAGACGAAAAAAATTAATAAATAATCGTTCAAATTCTTCTGATGTTCATTCAATATTATGTTCACGATCTTATCAAAGTCATGTATCAAACGAACAGGAAATTAATTCAGATTAAGTATTCAAATTACATCTATCTCTTATCTTCGGTGCTCTATTTTTTTATTATTATCAAGCATATCAATGTGAAATAAATCTCAAAAAAACAACAAAAGAACAGTATGAAAATAACAAAAATAAATTCTATTTCTATCGCCGTCCTTTGTTAACATTTGTTTTCTTTTTTCGTTGGCTCTACCCGGTGAGCGTATCTGTTTGTGTTTTCTTTTTCTTTTTTTAAATTTGTATCTATGTCTTCTTCTTTTTCTTTTCGTTTTTTGTGAGTTGAAACAAAATGAGTATGAATATTTGTAGATAATATTCAATGGGTAATTGTACAAATTGTGTTCAACAACAACAACAACAACATGAATCACAGCAACATCATTCTCATCCAAGAACAAGTTTAACATCATCATCATCATTTGATAATGTTTCACGTTCATATCATCGAAATTTATTACCAAATCGTTTTCGAACAATTCGTTCATTTCAACCATATAATTTAAATGCACTTATTGATGAAACACTTTCAATAATTCGTACTGTTATTGATGCAGATCAAGATCCACCACATGCCATGTTAGTTGTATCACGTATTGCTAATCGAGAAGATCGATGGTTAGAAGTTATGATAACATTAATTGAACGTATACCAATTAATGATCCATTAGGTGCAACTGTTATTGCATTATTACTTGATGAATGTTCATTACCATCAAAAGAATTACTACAACAATTAATAAAACGTGTTTGTTCAGATAATCGTTCAAAAATAAAATTACTTCAATCAATTCTTGATGAATATATTAAAGAAAACAGTAAACATATACAAAAACGAACAATAAATTCAGTAACTGAAATACATGATAATGAAGTTAATATAAATGATGTAACACTGATTATAAATGGAACTACGAGTGAACAACAACAACAACAACAAGAAAAGTAAATGAGTATACTTTAAATAGTGATCTATTGAAAAAAAACTAACTGACCAAATATATCTTATAATGAATCAGATAAAATAACAAAATTCTTTTTCTTTTCCAGGTCTAGCAAAGCATCATCATTACCAACTTTTCGTTCGTCAAAACG